ACAAAGGGAAGACTTGGACAGGCAGAAGGAGGGGTGGGGGGTGAGGGAGCCTGATGGTGAGGGGATAGGGGCCCGCCCCGACTAGACAAAAGTTACTGTAAAAGGAGAGGGTTGTTCCGGCAAGGTTACCTTCTTCTGGGGGGAAAGGCAAGAGTCTCTCACTATCGTGAGCAGGTGATTGCAGATGGACTGGTTAAAAGTCAAATTTCTGAGGGGCTGATGGGTTAAGCCTCGGCTCGCATGATGAACTTTTATTAATTGCTGCTCTGGTGAATCAGTGGCTTTACTTCTGTTCTTTCTGAACTTCTGACAGTTCTAACGCATTAGCCTCTCAGAAATTTGCAAACAGGTGGCGCTCAAACCAGAACACGGGAGGCTTTACAGGGATATATGGTTATAAAGCAGCAGGAAGGCACCCATTGTTCTTCACAGGGCTTGGCTTCAAAGTTAGAATCTTCTTAAATGGGAGGGAGTTGGTCCCCGGTTACCTCATACCCATCTCGGGGAAACTGTAAGTTTCACTCTCATTTCCAGAGGCATAAGGAAGAAGTGGCTGGGGTCAAGTTAGTCTTGCAAAAAAAAAACAACTTCATATGACTAAACTTATCTTCTGCTTGGGTTTTTTTAAGGGTGGTCTCCCATTTGGTTTTGATTTAACGGATATTAAGTCTCGGTTTGCTGTCCTGGGGCAAGTGAATCCATTTTGGGACTCTTTTCTTTTTTCTTTTTTTTCTTTTCTTTTCTTTTCTTTTCTTCTTTTCTTTTCTCTCTCTCTCTCTCTCTCCTTCTTTCCCTCTTTCTTCTTTTCTTTCTCAAACCTTGAGAGCCCCTGTGGATGAAAGCATGCATTGAACCAACACTGAACGAGTGTTACAGTATGAATACTGACATCCGTTTGTCCAGCAGGTGTGAAGAGAAACCACAGTCAAAAGTTACAGGGCAGAGATAGAATTGGCACGGGGAGTGGGTCCTTTTACAATTTGTGTCTCTCGTAAACAACCCAGTGACCTGGAAGCGCCCACAGGGGGGATGTCGTGCAACCTCAGAGGCTGTCCACAGGTCTGTCCCCCTTCCAGGTCAAGGCTTGGCCAGGTGACCTGCCAGATGACTCAGGGTCGCTGGTGGCAGTCTTCCTGGCCAACTTGGAACCGGCCACCCGTGCCAGAGCTCAGCCGCGCACCAGGCTGCTCCCTTCAATGGGGAGTGATCCAGAAACGCAAAAATCCGGAGAGCAGGGCTGCTCTTAAGGCCACTGAGGCAGTCTTCAGGCTGCGCGGTGCCCTCCCCTCCCCAGGCGCCCCCCCACCGTCCTCCCCCCTGCGCTTCCTTATGCCTTGTCGGTCCTCCACCCTGCCCAGCCCTGCCCTGCCCCGCCCCTCGGGCTCCGTGACCCTCCTAAATCTAGAGATTAGGGGTTCCTTTCATTGGCTCTGAGCTTGGCTTTTGAAGGATTAGTGATTTCGGAGAACTGAGTGGAAGTCTAAACCTTAAACCCTTAAAAAGGTTTTCACCCCCTGCCCCACCCTTCCCGGCTGCCGTCCGTGTCCCCCCTTTCTCTGAGTCACGCCTCCAGCCTGCCCCAGACTCCCCTAGGCTCAGCCAATCTGCCCTTTTCTTCCCCCTTTTGGAGGCCAGACTTCTGGCTCTTTTCACGTAAGTTTCGTGATCCCACAAATCACATTCTTAGCTCCAGGGCTTTCCACCCTGGTGGGCACCAAGTAACATTTTAGTTATAAATAATAAATAAGCTTTTTACATGGGCTTTTGTCCAAGAGGAGTTAGTTATCTTTGCTGATCATTAAATTAATACAAATGCATTGTTAAGAAATCAAAACTCGGGGCACCTGGCTGGCTCTGTCTGTGGAAAGTGTGATTCTCGATCTCGGGCCCAGGGGTTCAAGCCCCACGTTGGGTGTAGCGATTGCTTAAATAAATAAAACTTAATAAAAAGAAAGCCACCAATATAAAAACAAAGTGAAACTTGCAGCTTTTCCTACTCCCTAAAGATAAACGTTGATCATTTTCCTTCTTCTCTTTCTCACACACACACACACACACACACACACACACACACACACACGCTCTCTCTCTCACATATTTTCTTTTGAACTATGTTGATTCAAAAAAGTTTTATAGGGGCGCTTGGGTGGCTCAGTTGGTTAAGCGTCTGCCTCGGGCTTAGGTCATGATCCCAGCGTCCTGGGATGGAGCCCAAGGCCTGGCATTGAACCATGTCTGGCTCCCCGCTGAACGGGGCGTCGGCTTCTCTCTCTGCCCGTCCCCCTGCACACATTCTCTCTCTCTCAAATAAATAAAACCTTTAAAAAAAAACGTTTTATAAACATTTATACACCAAACTGTTTACACTGAATAGCCCACCTATCTGATTTTTAGTTTAATGGGTTAAAACTAAAAACAACCCCCAGAAAACCGCAATCAACTATGGGGTTTTTTACAAGTTGGATCGGGCAACAGGTGAATGGGGAGCCCCAGGTGCTCACAGCAAAGGCTCCTCCCTAAGAGCCTGAGAGCCAGAACCAAGCCCACATTTCTCTGGGAGGCTGAACCTCCAGGGCAGGAATCTAGGGACACCCTCCCATTGCTTAGAGAAGCACATGGGGTCCTGGGGAGGTAAGAGGAGACTTATCTTCGGGAAGCGGACTTACCCTTTCCTCCGTGTGAAGTTTGAGGATCGCTGTACAATGTCGGGAGGAATGCTGCTTAAAATAGCCTCCGGGCTGATGTCCTCCTTGGGTGCCGGTCCCACCTCACCCTCACCTGCCAAGCTGTTGGCTGGGCTGTAGAAGAGCTGCCTGTTCTCCGCGGAAGCTCCATCCCTCAGGACAGAGGGACCCCAAGTGTCACACCCGTCATCCAGGGCTGACCATGCTCAAAGATTAGGCTTTTGAAAGACAGCTTTGAATAAGTGTTTCCTTCTGCAGTGACAGGACGTGACCCTGGTCACCCCCTTGCTCCCTTGATGTCCCTCTCGTGTCCTGGGCTCCCCTCAATTGTTGGTTGGGGGCATCTGCCTTAGACCCCGAATTCCCACCCGCCGTTTCCCCCAAGTGAGCTTTATCTCTCACTTTTCAAACCCGCTTCGTGAAGACACCTCAAGCCTGATTTCCCCCATGGGGCGATGCCCACAACCACCTTGTGCTGAATCATAGCGTCTCCAATGAAACAGCCCTCCTTAGCCCCATGCCCAGTGGGTGACACTCTTCCCTATCATTTAGCTAGACACAGGCATCCCTGCCAGCCTCATCCTAATACTACCTTCCAGTCAGTCCTTAGGATTTCATCTCTGGGATCCAGAACATACCCCACTTTTCTGTTCCTAGCACATCTCTGCTCAGGCTCTGTGTCCCTCTAACTGTGCTGGAATCATGTGCTGGGGAGAAAAATGTTTATCCTCTTAGGTGCAAGTCTTGGGGGACTGCAAATTAAAGTGACAGAATAGCAAGAGAGAAGACGGATTTTTATTTATGTCTACAAAGGGAGTTAACAAAAATGTGGCTCCGGGAGGTGGTTAGAATTTGGGGGCTTATTTACCATCTTAATAGGGCATGGGGGGCACAGAGGGACACTTCTGGGAGAAAAATGGCTTCTGGGGGAATGCAGAAAGGGCACTTGGGGAAACAAAGGACTTTGGAAAGATAAATGATTTCTTAGGAAAACAGATAGGATAGTAACAGTGTCTATTTGGATTTTTCTCAGGGAAGAGATTACAGTTGCGCCCAAGGAGATAATACTTAACAATCAAGTTCTTTTAGGAGGCTCTACCTATAGGCAGACAAGGGATTTCAGGAGCTCAAATCTGTCATTCCCTACCTCAACCTTTCAGAGGCCCCCAGTCACTTCCAGGTGCAGCTCAAATTTAATAGACACACTGCCTGAGCACTTGGTCTTTGACCTTTCCCCAAGGTCAGTGACTGATGCAGGTCGTGCTTAGCACTTTCTGGCGTCTTACAGAGAGCTAATGCCTTCTCTAGGGATGCTAGTAAATAGATGAAGCTTTTCCCCAGTGAGCTAAAAGCACCCCGCAAGCACCTCCATGCACCTAGCAGCCTTGTTCTTGGGCGGGGGGGGGAGGAGGGAGAAGGTCAGCCCAAGCCTTTCATGGATGGACAGTGCAGCCGAGGGCTAAATCGGGGACCGCATTTTGCAAGTTGGCATCTACGCGGGAGACAGGAAGTGGAATGGGCACCAGGGTTCGTTCTGAGATGCCCAGACTGCAAGACCCGTTTTATACCATCAAGCACGGATTGTCAGGAAATGCATTATTTGCCTCGTCTGTGGAAGGGGAAATGTCCGGGGTGTGCGATAATTTAAAATGAGCTGAACAATTGAAACAGCGCTTGTCAGAAATCTGCCCTAGGGCGCCTGGGTGGCTCAGTTGGTTAAGCGACTGCCTTCAGCTCAGGTCATGATCCTGGAGTCCCGGGATCGAGTCCCGCATGGGGCTCCCCGCTCAGCAGGGAGTCTGCTTCTCCCTCTGACCCTCTCCCCTCATGCTCTCTATCTCATTCTCTCTCTCAAATAAATAAATAAAATCTTTAAAAAAAAAAAAAAGAAATCTGCCCTAAATTCTACCAGTGATCTCTCTTGGTTAAATTGCACCAGAGGGGTGTTTGGAAATCCCCATCACCCCTTCCTCACTCAGCACCCAGCCCTCCCACAGGGGCTCCCTCCTCTGGCTGAGGAAGGGTCTCCGGGGCCTTTGGTCTGGATTTACATTGTGAGCCTGAGTTAAGTGGACCGGGGTGGAGGCTGGGGGGCAGTGGACCCTGCAAGCAGGGGCTTGTCCGCCTTTTCTAAGCTAATCTGGCCTCGTCTCGAAGGGGACTGCACCGCTGACCAGCCTGAGCTCCTGATGCCTTTGAAGGTTGGAGAAATACAATGTAGCTTTGTTCTTTTTTTGCCAACTGGGAAACCCCTTTTGAAATACGAGTGTAGCACCGTGTCCCTAAATAGTTATTACCTCTTTCTTTCTTATCACGGGGGCTTCTTTTCCAAGAGCAAACACCTGCTCCCCAGCACTGCCCCTTCACCTGTGGCCGCTGGAAGAGTCTAGGTGAGTAGGTGGCTGCCCACTAGGATGGACGGGCTCCTGGTTTCCGCCCCTTCTCCTCCTGCTTTACCCACTCCTGGCTTCGACCTTTCTGCGGGCAGGTGGGGCGATGGTAGAACGTATCCTTTGGAGAGTGAACTGTGTCTCTGAACCTTAAGCCAGGACTGGCCATGCGAACCCGCGCACAGAGCCACTCTGCCTGCAAGCATCCTCCGTGCTTAGCAGGAACCTTTCCAATCAGAGCTTTGCAAAAGTCTGTGGTTTTCTCCGCATCAAGTTGGCTCAATCTTTTACTGAGTGCAGGGCGGGGGCAGTCTTGGGGTCAGCCTTCGGGAGGCTCACAGTCTGGATGGGGTGCCTGCGAGCGCTAAGGGTGCCAAGGAAAGGGGGCCGGGCGGACTCAGTGGGGCAGTGCACGGCAGGGACTGGGCAGGGAGATGGTTTCTCTGGTTCAGAGGCAAGAAAAGCAAGCAGGTGAGGACAGTAGCACTTGCTCTGTGGGGAGGCCAGACAGGATGCTCTCTGCGGCTTGGTTTCCTTTTTTGGATTCTGTCTGCTGCCTCGCCTCCCCCCCACCCCTCCCCGGGAAGACACATCTAACTCTTCCTCTTTTGAGCTCTCTGCCAGCCCACCGGCTCCCCACCCACAGAGGAGAAATGAGCATCCTGGAGGATCCTGATGGTTTGGGGGGAGGGGGTTGCTGTGAGCAATACTGGTCTCACTGGGGACCGCTGTGGCCCTGGGGACGCAGCTGTGAGACCCCAAGCCTCCTCTCGGGATCTCCATGGAGAAGTAAGAGCCTGAGGGGGAGGGCAGGAGGGGTGGACCCCAGCGGCCAGTCCCCGCAGGGTGCTGCTGATGGTTGCATTTCCTGGAAGCCAGACTTGGGCGGAAGCCTGGCTGTCTGTGTGGATTTGTCCGATGGTAGTTGTGCTTGCCTGCCTGGAATTAGGACCCAAGATTCTGATCACAAAATCTGATGACAGTTCTGACGCATGTGTGGGTTCCTACCGCTGCCCGAATGCAACTCACTCGGGACACCATCTACCCGGAGACACAGACCCACAGGTCGAGGGTCGAGGGTCGGTCCCCCAGCTCCGCCCTCCCCCACGCCAGCCCCACGTGCAGGCTGTCACCTGGGTTCTGACCCACCAGTCACAGACCAGAGGTCCCCACGACCCCTCCCTGGGTTTGATGAAGCCGCTGGACCTGCTCACAGAACTCAGGGAGACGGTTTACTCCCTAGATCACCGGTTTGTTATAAAAGGGTTAACGCAGGAAGAGACAGAAGAGCTGCCCAGGGCGCGGCCTGGGGAGGGGCCCCGGGGCACCCATGCCCCCCACACACACATGGCCCACGGTCCCCACATCTCCATCTGCTCGCCAACCCGGGAGCTCTCCGGACCCCGTCCTTTTGGGATTTTATGGGGGTTTTGTTACACGGGCAGGACTGATGAAATCACCGGTCATTAGTGATTGATTCAACCTGCAGCCCTACCCCAGAGGTGGGGGGTGGGGCTGAAAGTGCCAACCTCTAGCCCTGAGATTGGTTTCCCTGGCAACCAGCCCCCATCCTTAGGCGTTTTCCAAACATCACGTCACTAACATAACAAGAGACATCCCCTTGCTCACAACTTTTAGGAAATGCCAAAGGTTTTAGGAGCTCCACGCCAGAAATGGGACGAAGACCAAGGCTGTTCACCCTTGAACAAGCAAGGATCTGAACTGGGCAGATCCACTTACATGTGGATTTCTTTTGATAAATACACAAAGTGCTGTAAATGTATTTTCTCTTGTTTATGATGCTTTAAATAACATTTTCTTTTCTCTAGCTTCATCGTACAGTACATAATACATATAACATACAAAATAATGTGCTCACTGACCAGTTCTGTTTCCCGGAAGGCTTTTAGTCAACAACAGGCTAGTAGTAGTTAGGTTTTTGAGGAATCAAACGTCAAAAGCACCAGGCGGTTTTTCCACTACGCAGGGAAACATCCCGTCCCCGGTGCCAGCCCCCCCCGCCCCCCCAGTTCAGGGTCAACTGTATGTATCTGTTAACCTTAAAAGCTAAACTGCCAGAGAGGGGGGCGCCTGGGTGGCTTAGTGGGTTGAGCATCTGACTCTTGGTTTCAGCTCAGGGTTGTGGGATCGAGCCCCGTGTGGGACTCCATGCTCAGCGGGGAGTCAGCTTGTCTCCTCCTTGTGCCCCTCCCTCCTCAAATAAATAAATGAATAAATAAATCTTATTGTTTTTAAGATTTTATTTATTTATTTGACAGAGAGAGAGAGATAGTGAGATCAGGAACACAAGCAGGGGGAGAGGGAGAAGCAGGCTTCCCGCAGGGCAAGGAGCCCGACGCGGGGCTCGATCCCAGGACCCCGGGATCATGACCTCAGCCGAAGGCAGACGCTCAACGACTGAGCCACCCGGGCGCCCCAACAAATAAATCTTAAAAAAAAAACCTGCCAGTCACTTTACCAGCAACAGGTGGGTTTATTCAGGAATGAAAGAGAATTACAACCCTGGGCAAGTAAGCTGTTGCAAAATCATGGGCCAGCCCGGGGGACAGAGGAGAGGCATGCATTTTAAGGAGAACAGGGGGGCGCCTGGGTGGCTCAGTTGGTTCAGCGACTGCCTTCGGCTCAGGTCATGATCCTGGAGTCCCGGGATCGAGTCCCGCGTCGGGCTCCTGCTCAGCAGGGAGTCTGCTTCTCCCTCTGACCCTCTTTCCTCGCGTGCTCTCTATCTCTCATTCTCTCTCTCTCAAATAAATAAATAAAATCTTAAAAAATAAAAAAATTAAAAAAAATAAAAATAAAAAAATTTAAGGAGAACAGGGGTCAGGGGGGTGAGGAAAACTTCTTGCCCTCAGGCTGCGTTAGTAGAGCAGTATCCACGGGCAAGGTCATGTCCTCGTAAGCTCCAGTCTGCCCTTGTCCCGCTGGGTCTTAAGTTGACCATGAGCATTGGGCATCCTGGGACCATCTCAAAGAGAGAGTCCAGGAGTTCCCAAGGAAGCAGAGTTGAGATTCAGAACGGGTAATGACAATGCCTTTGACCAACGTGTTTGGAGGGTCCCTACGAATGTTGCCAGCTGTGTCTTCGTAGCACCCTTAGCGCGTCACCAACCCTGAGGATTGAGGATGGTGTGCACAACGAAAGTGTCATAAAACCAGCCAAACAGCACAGGCTTGTTGAAGCACCTGACTGGTAAAATGGGCTCCCCAGTCACAGTGTAGTTCAAGAGGGGAGCCCCAGGTAGGGATCATCTTTCCTCATAGGATCGTAGTCCGAGAAGAGGTGTTGGCCTGTCTACAAGGCAGGGCTTCAATCTGATAAGAAAACTTACAAACCGGGACTAAAACCTATTTGTATCCGTGACACAGAGGGATCTGCGTGAAGCCCATTGGCCAAACCTCAAATGGTCCACTGGGCAGGATGGGTACATTTCCCAGGATTGTATTTTGGACAAGTGGGACAAGCAGGGGCCCCACCAACATTGGTTCGTGAACGCTGTTATTTTCCCAGTGACCCCTGGTTTAATGTGCGTACAGTTGTAAGTACTGGGAATTTAAAAATTTCTGATAGGGCCAGCTTGTTATTTGGTGTAAACCCAGTTTCCCTCTTTTATCAAACCAACAGTTATCAGATTTCCAATATTGAGTTAACTTTTCTGGGGCCGATTGTTGGGCATCTCTGGTCCATTTTTTCTAACCGTCATTTGGAAGAGCATCTCTTTGGAATATGACAGAGGTCTGGCTCTTGGGCTCCTTCAGAGCAGCGTTTGGGTGGAAATAGCAGCGACGTGGTTTCCTTTGGCCTCCAGGGAGTTGATTCTGGAATGCCCAAAACCCTTAGTAATAGCTCAAGCCACCAGCAAAAGCATGGCACCTAGTTAATGGTGGACCTAGGAGCCATTTTTAATCTTATCCCCAGGGAAGGTAGGAAAACCTGTTGCCTCCATTCCCAAATCTGGAGCTTCCTTCCCGAAGGCATATTGACTGTCAGCATAAATGTTTGTGGTTTTGCCCTTGGCTGAAACACGAGCTCAGGTGAGGGCGTTTAAATCAGCCTGTTGGGCGCAAGTAGCCAGGGGTAACGGTACAGACTCAGTGACTCCCAGGGATTTGCAATAGTACACCCAGTATGATATTTTATCCTTTAAATAAGAAACCATCAGGAAACCGTGAAAAATCTGCACTGGTTAGAGCAGGTCCCTGTAAATTGTCACCGGGAGTCAACAGGTGATCTGTCAACATGAAGCTGTCCTGGAGGGTTTTATCCTGGAAGGACAGAAAGATGGTAGGGTTAAGGCTATTGGAACCAGAAAGAGTTATTATTGTGAGGGGCAGTTACCATGAGGGTGTCACAGGAGGTGAGGTGACTGGCAGAAAAGTCTTTTTCTTTTTTAAATTTTATTTATTTGAGAGAGAGAGATGGAGATAGTGACAGAGAGCACAAGTGGGAAGGAGAGGGAAAAGGGGAAACAGACCCCCCACTGAGCAGGGAGCCTGATGTGGGGACTCGATTCCAGGACCTTGGAATCATGACCTGAGCTGAAGGTGGCGCTTAACCGCCTGAGCCACCCAGGCGTCCCCTGAATGAAAAGTCTTGAGCGTCAGGAGAATTTAGGAGGCCTTCTGTGTGGGCCTTAACTAAGAGGGTAGTGGCAAGAATGGCTCGGAGGCCCCCAGCCACAGGGCCTAATTGTTGGCTTTGATGCCCCATGCGGCAATGGTGGGCCCTGTGTTTTTGGGGTGAGCGCTCCAAGGGTATCCCCTTCCTTCTCGTGTAAAGGAGGGATAATTGATAATTAAGATGTCTGAGGGCAGAGACTTTTGTTAGACTTTTCTTTAAAGTCTCAAAGGCCATGTCATCCACCTCTTTCTAGATAATAGGGTCAGGTTTGTCCTGACTTTACTAAAAGTAAAGCTCATACAGACTGGTTCATGAGGGACGAGTTTGGAATCCAATGTCGGCAATAGCCAGCCAGCTCCAGGAAGCCTCCTAATTGGTGCTTGGTTTTCGGTTTTGGGAAATTCAGGATGCCTTTGAGTCTACCTGGATCCACATCAAGTCCTCGTTCGGAGATCAGGTGCCATAAATATTGAACCTGACTTGGTGCAAACTGCAACGTTTCTTTGGAGACTGTAGGTCCCTTTCAGGCCAAAAGTTTTGACAGGGGGAGCCTGCCTTCCTGTGAAGAGGTCCAAGCAGGGAGCAGAAGAGCAAGTCATCTACACATTGTAACCAAGTCGAGGCTGCAGGAAACTGTGTGTCATCCGAATCAGCCTTTGAAGGACCCTCCGTGCCACCCTGGGGCATGACCGCCCAGCTCTCCTGCTGTCCTTCCCAAGTGAAGGCAGAAAGACACTGGCTGTCCTTATCGAGTGGAGTACTAACCATGCACCCCATAGGTCAATTACGCGGAAACCTTGCTTTCAGTGGGAACGGGTGCCAGTAACACGTGGGAGTTAGGAACAACAGGGTCCTGAGGGGTAACGACATTACTTACTGCTCAGAGGTCCTGGCCATTGGGTTTCCTCCCAGGTAAAGTAGGGCTGTGACTAGTACAGGGGATCGTGAGGCCCCGAGCCTCGAAATTCTCCATTCTGGGCTGGATGCCCTGAAGGGCTTCTTTACTTATAGGGCATTGATTAATTCTAGGGAGAGGTTTTGAGGGATCTATCTGAGTCTTGTTGGGAGGTGCACTGTGCATTTTATCAGTAGCAGTTGAGGATTTTGTCCAGAAAGAGGGTGGTAGCTGATCCAACAGGAATACATGATCGGTGTCCCCAGACTCAGCTACGGTCCCGCCAGAGACAGAGCAAACAAAAGACATCAGAGGGTCATTTAATTCCGCTGGTTGGCTGTTTTGATCGCTGCTATCAGATTCTGGAATTATCTTCCCCTTCGGGGAGAAAGAAATTCTGGCACGATACTTCTCTAGGGAATCTCAACCCCGTAAACGAGTAGGGGCAGAGGGATTGAGGAGAAAAGAGTGAGTACCTCTCAAAGGGAATGGGTTCAGAGGCGGGAACCTGTTGAGGTTGGCTGGAGACCCCCACTACTTGAACGGGTTTGGTGCTCCGAGGGGCTGCTCTGCAGCCGTGGGGCCGGGCACTGAGAGTATAGGTCCTGTGTCACTAAGGACAGAGATCCATTCCGAATCTGGGGAGTGGTTTTCCTGGGTTGATTAGGAGGACTGGAAGAGCCCCAGCACTGGGAATGAGGAGGAGGTAGAAGAGCTTAGCTCGTGGGCTGAAAGCACCGGGAGAGCTTAAACCCGTAAAAGTCCTTTATCCAATGTCCTGGTTCCGGCAGTATCAGCAGAAACTAGGCTTTTTGCTGGGGGGCCTTTGTCTGATGGAGTTGAACATTGGAAATTTTAGTGGTCTTTCCTGTAGGTGACTCAGCTAGGGTGCGAGCAAACTGTTTTGCCAGGGCAATTGAATCTGGGGGCAGACCAAGTTTCCCATTTCATCCTGGGCCTTTTAACGAAAAGGAAAAGATCCCAGATCAGCCCAATAATAAATACAGAGTTAAAAGGAAGACCAGAACTTTCTTTAAAGTCAGTTTGGAGTCAATCATAATAATGACGAACAGATTCATCAGGCTTTTTGTGCACAAGCCTGAATTTTGTCCCAGGCAACCGGCTTCGGAAAAGCCATTCCAAGTCCTCGGTGGAGATTTCCAGCGAATGGTCTAGCATCTTGCCAAAATTCGGGGGTCTGTTTCTCTAAATCCTGCTCAGGATGTTCCCATTGGGCTGGTTTTATCCAATGCTTGGGCTGGCCCTCAGCCACAAGCCTGTGGCCCAACTACTACAAATCCCAGAAACCAGGTTGGTAAGTTTGAGTAACTCTGTTAAATTCTCCAGCAAACCTGTGGGGGTCCTCAGCCACTTAGGGGACCCTCTTTACCTCTGGCTCAAAGTTCAGCCTTAGTCCGGGGAACTTAGGAAACCTGGGGTCTATTTAGATCCCCAGAAGACTTAACTTTGAAGGAGCAGGGGTTTTAATAGGTTCAGGAGAGGAGGGAGCAGAGGGAGCGTCAGAAGAAAAGAGGGTTTGAGAGAAGGATGACCAGGCCGGGGTGAAGATGGGGCAGAGCTTCTGAGCGCAAGATGGCGGCGGCGTCTAAGCGCAAGATGGCGGCAGCGTCTGAGGGCAAGATGGCGGCCTCGCCTCTGTGGATGGAGAAATAGGGGAGGGGAAGAGGCCTCAGAAGCCCCTCCCTTTTTTCCATTTATTTATTTATTTAAAGACTTTATTTGTTTATTTGAGTGAGAGAGAGTTGGGGGGGAGGAGCAGAGGGAGAGAGACAAGCAGACTCCAGGCTGAGTGCAGAACCCGACCCCGGGGCTCGATCTCACGACTCTGAGATCATGACCTGAGCTGAAATCAAGAGTCGGTTGCTTAATCGACTAAGCCACCCAGGCGCCCCCCCCCGCCTTTTTCCTTTTTAATTGTTTGTTTGCCTCATTTAGTTTACAAACTGTTTTGGAGAGAGGCAATTTTAGATTCCAGATAGCGCTTGGAAGCTTCAAAATACCAGTTGTAGAAGGAATTGCGTTTAGTTTTGTCAATTTTAGGACCGTGGTTGTCCAATTCAGCTTTGAGAAAATTAAGTCTGGGGAGATGGAAAGTTCCCCATAACGGCCATTGGAAGTCTAGATCTAAATTACTTCCGGTTAAGTCAGTCCATTCATTTATAAACGGGCATTGCGCAGGACCATTATTTTTAAACATAAAACGGACCGCAGTCCCAGTAGTGGGGGGAAGGGGGGCACCCTCAAAGCATTTTGACGACTGGGATCCCATTTCTCTGATTCCTGCTGGGATCAAAGGCCACCCAGTTTCTGGAAGGATGGTCCAGTCCCAAACAGAACTCAGACCGAAGGCCAATGCGGTTCCATCAAACACAGTCTGAATCAGACTGAAGGCCAATAGAATATTCTCAGAGAGGCTTAAAAAAATGCTTAAAAGATGCTTAAAAAAAAAAATCCTTAAAAAAAAAAAAAAAAGAGGAAAAAAAAGGTCAAGGCCTTGGTAAATCCCGGGTAAAGCGTAAAGGGCTTGAGCACAAAGCATGGGGCTCAAAATCCAGGAGAATACTTGTCCTCAAGCCCAGCTTTGGTGAGAAAGCAGTGAGCCCAGCAACCTTGCGGCTCATGGATCACGCACCTGTCTGCTCACCAGCCCCGAGTCTTCTCTGGCTCCCACCTCCGATCACCAAGTCATGTTAACCTTAGAAATAGCCACGGCCAGCTACTTTACCAGCAGCAGATGGCTTTATTCGGGAATGAAAGCAAATCCTAATTCAGGACACAGCAGGTCCGGGAAACCAAGGAGAGGCACGATTTGTAAGGAGGAAAGGGGTCTGTTGGGAGGCTGTTAGGAACGAAAGCCCATTGGAGTAAGCTGGGGTGGAAGTGTTGCAGTTTCTCATTTCCTCTGGGTTTCAGATTTTGCTAAAAATGGTCAGTGATAATGGTTATCGATCCCTTTCTCCAAAAAGGGCCTTTGGGGAGCTACATTAGTGGGCTCTAGTTTCTTGATCGCTGGCTGGTGAGCTGGCAGGTTGGGAACCCGTCCTGGCTACATGGGGCAGACTCCACTCCCGGGCTTGGTGACCCCTGGGTCACTGGGTTAACCTGGTTCCTCTTTCCTGTCCCCATGGCAGGACATGGGCTTTATCAACCGAGTTCACCTGCAGGACGCCTGGGTGGCTCAGTTAAGCATCGGCCTTCAGCTCAGGTCACGATCTCAGGGTCCTGGGATTGAGCCCCGCATCGGGCTCCCTGCTCAGCGGGAAGTCTGCTTCTCCCTCTGCCTCTCCCCCTGCTCTCCCTCTGTCTCTCCCCCTGCTCGTGCTCTCTCTATTACATATATAAATAAAAGCTTTAACAAATGAAATAAAACTGTCCCAGGTCCTGACAACGCATTCCTGCTCTCAGTTCGACACTGCCCTGTTGCAGTAGAGTTCTGCCAAACAAACTCGTGAGGTTTTGTGTATGCCTGAGTTTTTTCTTAAATAATATTCTGTGTTGTTATCTCCTAGGGTCCTGCCCCTGTTGAGAGAATGGCTTCCTCGGGGTCCCAAACAAAGAAACATGATAATCACAGGTGAGGCTCCAGCTGACTGCGGGCGGGTTGGATTTTGGGGTTTATCGTGATTACTTTGTGACATACATTTTCCCGAGAGCCGCCATACAGGAACGTGTTTGACTCTTGTGATGGAGCCTGGGGCCCGGCGGGACAGGTCCAGAGGCTCAAGGACTGACAGGCTAATAGCTCTGCCCTCCGTCCTTGGCCCCTCGGGGTCTCAGCCAGACAGGCCGCTCTTTTGCAACACAGCCCTGCTGCCTCCCAGCTCTGCCGGGGTTCTGAATCTTAAATACTTCCTTTACGGTTTTCCAGAACTCCACTTTGTGATCCCGCCGGCCCCTCTTATATGTGTATTTGTGCACCGAGGGCAAAGCGAGAATTCCTGCCTTCATCCTGATTCCTACGTGGGCTTTGAATCCAACAGGATTTTGGTTTCCTCGCCCCCCCCGCCACCATGTCCCCCGACCTCTGCGGGGGCTACCAGGGACGCCCCGTCCTGCTGCAGGGGATCTCCGGGCCCTGCTGGCCTCCCTCCTCGACAGCCCCAGGGTTGTGTGTGTCGCCCTCGGGGAGCCCTGGAGCTGGGCTCCTGGGTCATCTCTCGGGGGGAGGAGCCTCAGGCATTCCCCGTGCCCTCCTCGGGCCTCCCTGGACTCCCACATGGACACCTGTCCTCCCTCCCTCCTTCCATGGAGGCTGGGAGGGCTGTTTTCACACTTCAGGATGTCTTGTGGACATGACTGCGGAGATAAAGTTCTAAGTGTTCTAAGTCACTGGCAACCCAAACTGCCCTGTCCTTCTCCAGGCCCCTTGGGCGCTGGCGAGGGGGGGGGGGTTGAAATGGGTCTGGGAAGGGGGCACAGGGCATCAAGGGCCGTGGACGGGACTCAGCTGGAGTCCCCCGCTGCCCTGCCCTGCCCCGGTGACCACCCTGCCCTCCCTCACTGCTGGTATTGCCAACCACTGGCTTCTCACTGTCCCCCCGAGCTGAGAGGCGGGTGTGGTGTCTGGAGCTCAAAGGCCAGCTCATGGGTGCAGCCTCTTGTGAAAGATATTAATTTTTTAAAGATTTTATTTACTTATTTTAAAGAGAGAAAGAGCGGGGGGAGGGGCAGAGGGAGAGAAAGAGAGAATCCCCAGCACACTCCCCGCTGAGCACGGAGCTGGACGTGGGGCTCGATCCCACGACCCTAAGATCGTGACCCGAGTGGAAACCAAGAGTCGATGCTCAACCAACTGAACCACCCGGGCTCCCCTCCTTTTTTTTTGAGAGATACTAATATTTAAAGTGAGCCTCTAAGGTGGGGATACGGCTAGGACCCCACTTCTGTGGTGCTCATAAGCTTTAAATGCAGTATTATGCACCAGCTCTGGATAGCATCATTTCTACTGCAAGGTCAAGTGCCTCCCAGGTACGACTCTGTGCTCCTTGTGCCCAGCATAGGGCCCCATGCGGGGTTGGTGTGGGGTCCAACTCTCCCTCCCTCCCTACCCCAGACTCCCTGCCCTGGTCCTTTCTAGTCCCCGAGCCACCTGGGCGTCTTCTAGAACCAGCCAACTCTAATTCATTTCGCATATTGTTCCAGCAATATTTGTTAAATGAATAAAGTGACAGAATAGAGCGAGATAAAGTACCTGGAAACTGTATCTAGAGTAGAGAACCAGCGTTCCAAGTAAGGCCTTTGACATGTTATTTTAAAACCTTCCAAAAAGTCCATTTGAACCTGTTCTGCTTCATGATGCTACATGCCCAATTAATATATTCGAAAACCGTTGCTGTTCTTCACAGTCAGGCCCCATTTCCTTCTCCTTCTCTACCTGGAATCAGAGAGAGAGAGAAAAATGTTGAAATATGTTGACATATGGGGCAAAGTTGTCTCAATCACATCCTGTTTTGTCAGCTCTGACTCTTGCCAGTCAGCCCTTACTCAGTCCCTGCCGTGCTCAGAACATCCCGAAAGAGTGTAGCCACCACCTTACATCAGTGATGGTTTCATGAGAGGGTGTGATGTCAGTTTTCCCTGCAGCCAAAGGGAGTGTGTGAATATATGAGGAGGCTGAGTGCCAGCAAAACCCCAAACCCACTAACCGACTCCGGGCTGGATCTGATGCCCGAGAGCAAGACAGAGCCTGTCCTTTGCCGGCCCTCCGGCTCACGGAAGTCACTGGTGCTTGCTCCGGCAGCGCCCCGCCCTAGCATCGGGGTGCTCACCGGGGTGCCCTGGCTTACAGCTGTTCTGGTGACAGCTTAGAGCTGTTTCCCTGCCAGATTTCCAGCACCTCGGAGCAGACAGGGTCTCCCGGGACGGGGGCCGGGCTGGCGCTCCACGCGGGCGCGCAGGGACTCGTGCCTGACTTGCTGGCAGTTTACGGAGCGCTTGCTTTCCGGGGAGATCACCCGTGTCGCCGCCCCCAGAGAGGGAATACAAAAAGGGAAGAAAAAAAAAGGAAATTGGCATTATGGCTATTCAGAGCGTCTGGTTGGTTGGGAAATAAGTGTTTCCAGTTAGATTTTGAAATATTAGACACATCTCCTAAATGCGGCCCCCCCCCCACTGTAGCGGCTGCTCCCCTGGGGGCCTGAGTCACATGACGCGTCTCCCCCGGGGGTCCTGTGTCCTCCTTTCTCCCAAGTCATGGGGGTGCTTGGAGCTGCATCTCTTTCCTTCCTTCCTTCCTTCCTTCCTTCCTTCCTTCCTTCCTTCCTTCCTTCCCTCTTTCTTTCTTTCTTCTTTCTTTCTTTCTTCTTTCTTTCTTTTTCTTTTTCTTTCTTCTTTCTTCTTTCTTTCTTTCTTCTTTCTTTCTTCTTTCTTCTTTCTTTCTTTCTTCTTTCTTCTTTCTTTCTTTTTCTTTTTCTTTCTTCTTTCTTTTTCTTTCTTTCTTCTTTCTTTTTCTTTCTTTCTTCTTTCTTTCTTTCTTTCTTCTTTCTTTCTTCTTTCTTTCTTTCTTTTTTCTTTTCTTTCTTTCTTCTTCTTTCTTTCTTCTTTCTTTCTTTCTTCTTTCTTTATTTCTTCTTTTTTCTTTCTTTCTTTCTTCTTTCTTTTTCTTTCTTCTCTTTTTTCTTTCTTTCTTCTTTCTTTCCTTCTTCTTTCTTTCTTCTTTCTTTTTTTCTTTCTTCTTTCTTTCTTTCTTCTTTCTTTCTTTCTTCTTTCTTTCTTTCTTTCTTTCTTTTGAGTTAGATTGAAGAAGAAACAGATCAGTGGGTTCTGGACAGAATGTCACACTCAGAAGGAAGAACAAGAAGGTCCCGAGTCCCCTGACTCGGGGATCCATATGTGTCTCTGCACTCCTGTGGCCCGGCAGGCCAGGGTTTGGGGGAGCCCCGCTGCCCGTGGGAGTCAGTCAGGCATAGATGTCGAAGGAGGTGCATGTAAGGGTGGCAAGCTGGAGATGCAGTGTAAATAAAGTTTTATTGGAACACAACCCCACTCACCTGCATGTTGTCTGTGGTCCCTTCCACGTGACAACAGCTGGGTTGAGTTGTGACGGGGCCCCTGTGACCTGCAAAACCAAAAATATTCACTCTCAGGCCTTTAATGGAAAGAAGTTTGCTGACCCTAGGCCAGTGGTGTGCTGTCCAGTAGAAATAACAATGGGAGCCACACACACTTTCAAGTTGAAAGTGAAAACCACTGAAAAGAAAACCAAAATGGAAAGATGTCTTATCTCCCTCCCACTGGACATCGCACGGAAGCACTGGCTAATGCAACAAGGCAAGAATAATTAAATACAAGGTGTATAGACTGGAAAGGTGATCTCTGGAAGGGAGAACTAGAGGCAATTCTTTTTCTTGTATTTCCATCCGTATTTTCTATGTGATGTGTTGTTTTCAAAATAAAGCCAAGGTCATGTGTCGAATGAAATGGAGTTGGGTAGTCTACTACACTCGTTCTATTTAGCATCTTGATCTTTGTACTTTCTTGTGCTCCTCTGAGCTCTTTCTGATCAGCCTCCAAACAGGGCCCTGGGGTGTGAGATGGGGATACGGGGAAGGAGGAGGGGGCAGAATGGAGACAGGGAAGTGGGAGTGTTTGTGGGCCGGGGTGGCCTGTCTCACCCCACGACGTGCTGCACGCATCTCGCTGACACCGGGCACCTCTGTTATGGTGGCCCCTGGGCGCTGGTGCTCCCTAAACCTTTCACCTTCCTATTTTGTAATAGTGACCACCTTGTACAACCCACCAACCCAAATGTAGCAGCGATGCAAGAAGATGTCCTCTACCATTTCAGTCTCAGCACCAGCACGCATGATTTCCCTGCAATGTTCGGAGATGTGAAGGTAAAAAACAGGGCTTTCGATCCTGGGGGTTTGTCTTAAGATCAGCCTCCTCGTAGAAGATATGGGTAGACTTGGCGACAGAGGACCAGGTCATCAAGTTATCTTGTCACCAAGGGGGCACCTGGCTGGCATGAGACTCTTGATCTTGGGGTCGTGAGTTTGAGCCCCAGGTTGGGTGTGGACATTACTTAAAAATAAAATCTTAAAAAAACAAAGTTATATCTTCATCAGATTTTTGCAAATTGTTACTTTTAAAATATGTAAACTAATGAGTGAAAGAAAACTCCTCTAAGTTCTGCCATACTGGTCCCTAAATAATCTCTTATAAATTCAGCGTGTGATGGGAACCACATACAATAAATTTCTGAATGCCCCACTGAGAGAAAAGGAAAAAGGGGACACAGAACATTCTGTAGAGGAGCAAGGGATAATAAGTGAGTAATTACATGTGTCTGTTTGTGATTTAAGGTGCGTGTATTTATCTTTTTTGTAATGGCTTATTTTGCTTCTAGTCCGTCCCCCCCCACCCCCCAGAGTCCTGAATTCCTCAGGGCTGGTTTATCCTGGCACAGGACTTTTGAAATGTCTGATCCCTGTGGGTACAGGTGCACTAATGTTTAGATTCAAAATCGAAACAACCAGTGACTGTCCCAGCAGCCGTCGTGTTCATTTCAAACCATGAGACAAATCCCCATGTGTTCTTCTTGGATTTACTCTGGTTGCTTATAGCTCGTAGTATTTTGCTAATTGAGGTATAACTAATATACGGTCTAATATTCATTTCAGGCACACAATTTAGCGATTCAACACTTCCATACATTGCTCAGTGCTCACCAGGATAATGTAATCATTATCTGTGACCAACAATGTCATTCCCATCCTACTGAGTATATTCCCTCTGCTGTACTTTGTATCTCCATGACCCACTTATTTTGCAACTGAAAGTTCGTATCTCTTAATCCCCTTTATTTCTTTGGCTCTTCCATCTACCCTTTCCCCTCTAGCAACCACCAGTCTGGGGGACAGAGAGAGAGAGAGAGAGAGAGAGAGAACAGGAGCAGGGTGAGGGGGTGGGGGAGGGAGAGAGAGAAGCAGGCTCCCCGCTGAGCAGGGAGCCCGATGTGGGACTCGATCCCAGGACCCTGGGACTATGACCTGAGCCGAAGGCAGACGCTTAACTCACTGAGCCACCCAGGCGTCCCTGGCAACCACCAGTTTGTTCTCTGTATTTAAGAGTCTGTTTTTCCCTTTGTCTCTTTTTTCTTAGTTTTGTTTCCTAAATTCCACATGTGAGCGAAATCCTCTGGTGTTTGTCTTTCTGTGACTGACTTATTTCAGTTAGCATTATACCCTCTCGCTCCATCCACGTTGTGGCAAATGGCAAATGTCATTCTTTTTTTTTATGGCTGAGTAATATTCCTCTGTGTGTGCGTGTGCGTACATACACACACACATATGTACACACATGCATCTTCTGTATCCGTTCATCAATTAATGGACACACGGGCTGCTTCCATATCTTGGCTGTTGTAAATAATGCTGCAATAAACATAGGACTGCATATAACTTCCTGATTAGTATTTTCATTTTCCTTGGGTAAATGCCCAGTAGTAGAAATACTAGGTCATAAGGTAGTCCTATTTTTAATTTTTTCAGGACCCTCCATACTGTTGTCCAGAGTGGCCGCACCAGTTTGCATTCCCACCAACAGTGCATGGGGTGTTCCCCTTTCTCCACATCCTCGCCAACACCTGTCGTTTCTTGTGTTGCTGATTTTAGCCATTCTGACAGGTGTGAGGTGGCATCTCATTGTGGTTTTGATCTGCATTTCCCTGATGATCAGTGATGGGGAGCATCTTTTCATGTGTCTGTTGGCCATCTGGATGTCTTTGGAGAAATGTCTATTCATTTTTAAAAATCAGATTATTTGTTTTTGGGTTTTTTTTTTTTTTGCTGTTGAGTTGTATAAGTTCTTTTTATGTTTTGGATAGTAACTCCTATCAGACATGTTATATGCAAACATCGTTTCCCACTCAGTAGCTTTGTCATTGAGTTGATGGTTTCCTTTGCTGTGCATTGTGGTCTTAATTTATTTGCTTTCCGTGCATTAGAATTTAACCTAAAATTTTTTCTAGGCTATGGAAATGTTGTTTGTCATGTTTATTTTATTTATTTATTTATTTTTAAAGATTTTATTTATTTATTTATTTGACAGAGAGGGACAGCGAGAGAGGGAACACAAGCAGGGGGAGTGGGAGAGGGAGAAGCAGGCTTCCCGCGGAGCAGGGAGCCCGATGCGGGGCTCGATCCCAGGATCCTGGGATCATGACCTGAGCCGAAGGCAGACGCCTAACGACTGAGCCACCCAGGCGCCCCTGTTTGTCATGTTTAGAGATGAATCATTCTTTCATCATCAAACTCCTTAAAACTGGCTTATGTACATTTCTCTCTTGGGTAAAACAAAATGAAAAATAAGTTATTGTATGTGGCACTTTGCAGATGAAAGGTTTTCCGTCTCTGAGAGCCACCTACCCATGTGATAGCTCCCAATTCCCCAGCCCCCACTGGGCCCCTGGCTCTCTCTACACTGTGGCCATCTGGCTCTTGGACGGCTGGGGAGGTGTTAGTTAGAAGCCCATCTTACAGAGGGGCTATGGGGTCCTGATCGCACAGTGAGGAGTCCACATCATTTTATTCCAAACCTAGGCTCCCTCCAGGCGCCGACCGAGCTGTGCACATGATGGACAGAACCTGGAATTTCCTCCCCAGAGAGAGAGCAAGGGTCTGGTTTTCCTGGGTTGTGTGGGATGGATTACACAGGGGCCTCGTGCATGGAGCAGTGATCCCATGACCCAGTCAGTGCCTTTCAAACTGGGTGAGCATCCAAATCACCAGTGTCTGAATCTGAATCACTCACAGAAGCACCCATAACAGGGCTCCCCAGGCGCAGTAGCTCTGGGCTGGGGCCAGGGACCTTCATTACCCGCAACATTTAGGTGATGCTGATGTTTGTTGGGGGCCCCCCTTGGAGGGACCCCTGCTATGGAGACGGTGCGCTGTGCCTGACGGGGCTCTGTTCTCTGGCCGCAGTTCGTGTGTGTCGGGGGAAGCCCTACCCGGATGGAGGCCTTTGCCAAATACATGGCCAAGGAGCTGGGCCTTGACCACCCAGGTGCAGAGTATCCCAACATCTGCAGGGGGACCGACCGCTACGCCATGTTCAAAGTGGGCCCCGTGCTGTCTGTCAGCGTGAGTACCTGCCCTGGCGCTGGGCTCGGGCCTCGGGCTCTGCCAGCACCCTCCCCAGCCTGCCCTCTACCCACGGCCCGGGTCCCCTCAACACCTGTGTCCTCTGTCAGAGTGGGCACAGCGAGCAACCATTCAGAGTGCTCCGGGGTGCAGAGACGGTATTCAGCTCCAGATAACGGGAGCAGGTTGTTGCTTCCCCACTGAGCCTCGGGGTAGCGAACTGTGTCAGGGCTATGTGCGTGAGCTTTGTGCAAACTCTGGCACCTCCCAAAGTGATGTTTGGACGTCCATCTTGTCTGACTGCCAGTTTGACATGCCCAGAGGCACCCCCACCCTGACATAATGTGGGTGCTTCTCCCTGGTTCCAGCACGGCATAGGCATCCCCTCCACCTCCATCATGCTGCATGAGCTCATCAAGCTGCTCTACCACGCCCACTGCTCGGATGTCACCGTCATCCGCATCGGCACGTCTGGCGGGATCGGTAAGTGTGCAGAAGGCCTCCGCCCGGGGCCAGCATCCCGCACACGAGGACCTGGAGCCTCCCTGCGGGCAGGCCCCGTGCAGGGCTGGCTTGGGTACTCGGAGCTTCTACCCGGCTTTGTCCGAGGAAGCTCATTAGCAGGAGGCATGAAAAGAAGCTCGTTTTGTTAACTTTTCATCCAGCCGATTCTCCCAACCCAGCCCCCAGAAGTAGGTTGCGGAGAGGTGCGGGGCCCGGCGTTGCAGAGCCTTGTCCTCTTGGGGTGATGTGCTCGGAGCCTCCTTGCCTGCCTGCCTGCCTCTCTCCCTTCCTTCTAACCGCTTCTCTGCCTCTCTCCTTCCTCTGCACTTCCCTATTCCTGCAAGGATTCGAACCACCGTAGGAGAAAACCAACAGGAAAATCAAAGAGAGAGATGGAACACAAAGTTAAGTGTCCTTAAGTTGCCTAAAGGATCCCCAGGCTGATCCTGAGCCTGTTGTTTTGTTTTGTCTCTGAATGCCATAGAGAGAGCAACTGAGAGGACTGGATGCAGGGAGAAAGCCCAGGGCACATTTGCTTTACGTAAGCTGCTGGCTCTCTGACTCTGACAGTGCCCCCCGGGGGCTCAGAGCTGTCCTGTTCCTGGCCCCCTCTGGGAGGGGCTCACACACCCCAGCTCGAGGGTGATGGGGACAGCAGAAGGGGCATGACATCCCCAGGCTCGTGAAGGAATGAGAGCCAGCAGCCGAGTGCCCTGCAGGTTAAGCCCCAGGGTGGGAGCAGCTCCACTGACCAGAACAGGGACCAAAACAGCATGGGAGAGAAAGTCCAGATAAATACACAGGGGACCAGGACATGCTTTGTCACATTTCATGGAAACGGCTGATGGGGGGACTCTAGAACCATCCCCTAGCTTCCTCGTCCCTGCTTCCTAAATGTTCAAGAAACCCAACTTCCCTTTCAGATAAGTGTTTGGAAAGGCTCATGGTCACATCCCGCACAAAGTCATTAGAAGATCACAGAATAGGAGCAGAGTGATGTCCCTACGAATGTGAAAATGCCCCAGGAGGGGATGCCCAGGAAACTTGGGAAGTGGAACCCTAGTATCGCAGGGACAACGGAAGATGGGATCTGCTGGGAGTCGGGAGGTGCTGGAGCTGGGTTTGGGGCGCACAGGGGTTCCTTCGACTCTTCCACTTCTGTAGTTATTTGAAATCGTAAATAATGAAAAAGCACAAAGCAGGGACCAGGTAAGCACACTGTGGTCCCCTGAGCGGTGGCGTGTCAGTTAAAATCAGCAAGGGCTGGAGGATGTGGTACATGTAACAGGGACCGGGGGTCCCCAGCAGTTCCGTTCTCTTTGCTCTTTTCTCTTCCGTACTCTCTGCAAGCCTTATGCATTACTTCTATCATCAGAAAAAAGAATTTGATGCAGAAAATGGATCCTTAGCGATTGCCTTTTAGAACATTACTGGGTGTCCCGGTATTTTGGTGTGTAGACGGGTCATTTTCCTCTCTGTGTGCGCTCTGCGGTGCCCTCCCCACCTGCCCTGCATGGTCACGACACCTGCTTCTCTCCTCAGGTCTGAAGCCTGGCTCTGTGGTCATCACCCGGCAGGCGGTGGATGCCTCCTTCGAGCCGGTGTTCGAGCAGGTGGTCCTGGGGAAGCGGGTGGTTCAGAGGACGCACCTGGATGAGGAGCTCGTGCAGGAGCTGATGCAGTGTGCTTTGGATCTGCTGGAGTTCCCCACGGTCATAGGGAACACCATGTGCACCTCAGACTTCTATGAAGGTGACCGGGAGGGGTCTCCATCCTGCCCGGGGCTCCCGTCTCTTCCGGGTTTCCATGGTGCCTAGAGTGCTCTGCTTATGGGTGGGCAGGGCCCAGAGGGATCCGAAGCGTCCCTGCGTCCTGCCGGGTAGCACAGTCCTGGCATGTAGTAGGTACTTACTGTGTGCACGTGGTGAGCACACCCAGGTCAACGTTGGCACATGTCCATGTGTCTTCAGGGCAAGGCCGTCTGGACGGCGCACTCTGCTCCTACACAGAGAAGGACAAGCAGAAGTACTTGCAGGCAGCCCACTCAGCTGGCATCTGCAACATCGAGATGGAGTCTTCGGTCTTGGCAGCCATATGTGGTGCATGTAGCATCCCAGGTAGGCAGGCGAGCATCTGGTCACCGGGGTCCCGTCCAGATTCTCCTCCCGCCCCCATCACCCAGCACTCACCACCCGCCAGCCGCGGCTGCCTTCCACCCACCCTCCCCCAAGGCAAGTTTCTGGATGGGGTGGCATTGTCCAGTCCTATGCTCGGACACCTTTGACTGTCACACCGTCCTGGGCAGGGTCCTCAGTAGCTGTGCAGTGGCTTGCATGCACGGAGTAGGATGAGAAAGACCCACCTCCAGTCAGGTCAGGAGGCTCCCAACGCTGCTGTGAGCCTGCTTTCAAAGCTCCTTAGATTTCTGGTTTGGGGTTAATCCACCCCCAAGTTCCTAGGCTCGCCTTCGGGGTCCACTCCCCCTTCCAGAATTCCTGGAAACCTGGCTTTCAAGGGACTTGCTTGAAAGCTTCTTTCGAGGCGAAGGCTGGGAGGAATCAGGCGAGAACAAGGCAGGCCTGCGGGACAGCCGAGGGGGGCGCCTTGCCTGTCTCGGGGAATTCGGTTGGAAAGCCGGTGCTTCGCCGTGACGCGGCGTTTGCTCTCTGCAGTGGCCGTGGTGTGTGTCACTCTGCTCAACCGCCTGGAGGGGGACCAGGTCAGCAGCCCCCACGAGGTGCTGGTCGAGTACCAGCAACGGCCACAACGCCTGGTGAGCCACTTCATCAAGAAGCGCCTCGCGGCCGCCCAAAACCCCCTGAATCTCTAAAGACGCGCGGTTATGATTGCTGCAAATTAAGTCACTATCGGGTGCCCGGCCTGCTCAGTCATGAGAGCATGCGCCTCTTGAGATCTCCGAGTCCTGAGCTCAAGCCCCACACTGGGCACAGGGATTACTTAAATAAATAAATAAGCTTAAAAAAGAATCACCATCGAAATCTCCTTTTGTGGGGCGCCTGGGTGGCTCAGTCCTCAGGCGTCTGTCTTCGGCTCAGGTCATGATGCCGGAGTCCTGGGATCGAGCCCCGCATCCGGTTCCCTGCTCAGCGGGGAGCCTGCTTCTCCCTCTCCCGCTCCCCTGCTTGTGTTCCCGCTCTCGCTCTGTCAAATAAATAAGTAAAATCTGTAAAAAAAAAAAAAAAAAAATCTCCTTTTGTATATCTTCATGCACACTTTACATAAGAATTTAGGGAATTGGGTTGCATTTCAGAGGCTAAGAATCCTGCATTAACAACACAGAAGATTTTTCTAAAAGCTTCCTTGGAGTGTTTTTGACCACATTAGCCCAGGGTGGGTTCTGTGTAAGGATGTTCCCCGAATATTTGAAATATTTCCAGAGAAAAATTTCAGACTTTTCAATTCTAGTGGTTGTCAGATTTCACATCACTAAGCAGGAAATCCAACTATAGTTCCACAAAAACTCATTTCCTGATATATTTTTGGAATTCCTTCACCACTGTGTAGTGAGAGATGACCAAAGAAGCGGGAATTTGAGACATAAATGCACTTCAGTATCTACCCTTCTGGAACATGCCATGGCTGAGTATCCCACAGTGATGACTGCTGGCTAGGTGGGTCTGGGTCCAAGCACCTGCAGGTGGGAATGACACATCCTGGCTCCAAGACCCCTTGTGCGGCTCGTCCTCCCCGGTGCGTTGGGCTCAGGCTCTCCTGCGAGGTGCGCCGGTGTGCACGTCCCCTAGCGTCCTTCTGGAGTCGGTCACAGAAGTGGCCCTGGCTGCGATGCTGAGGGTACCGGCAGGGAGAATCCAGGGTGTGGCAGCCACCCCTTCTGGGGTGTCCCGGCCCCCCCATCCCAGGGGTGCTCGGGTCTTGGGACATCCCCGGCTTCTGTTTGTCCCAGGTGACTTCACACTTTTGCATCAATGTGGCTAATTTCGGGTATTCGATTCTGTTTTAAATACTTGAGGTGCGGGGCGCCTGGGCGGCTCAGTCAGTTAAGCGCCTGCCTTCGGCTCAGGTCATGATCCCAGGGTCCTGGGATCGAGCCCCACTTCGGGCTCCCTGCTCAGCGGGGCAGTCTGCTTCTCCCTTTGTCTCTCCCCCCACCCATGCTCTCTCTCTCTCTCTCAAATAAATCAAATAAAATCTTAAATAAATAGATAGATAAATAAATAGAAAGAAACTGCAAACCCCAAACAAGCCACAGGCTCGGTGCTCATACGCAGAGGCGCGGGCACTTGGCTGGAGCTCACTCATCTGCAGCATGAGAACACCGTCCCCCTCCATCCTGAGGAGCGCCAGGAGCCGCAGGTGAAGAGCCTTGAGGCGGCTCCTTGCAGGACGTACCTGCTCCTGTCCCCACTTTGCTTTTCCTGCAACATTGTGCTTCTCCACCACCACCCACGTGGCAACTGGGGGATCCTTGACCACTCTCTTAGGAGTGACCGCCGCCATTGTCAGGGTCCCGGGATGGGGTAGCTGACCTGCCTTCTGAAGTTCTCCCTCCACTGTGGCTGTGCTTAGCTGTGCCTTGGTCTCCCTGCCCTGCTCCACCCGCGCCCCCCCGTACGACGGAGTGCGGTTACCCCAGCCCCGGGGCTGGTGTAGGAGTTGGGGGTGCAGAAGGTCTGTGAAGACGCTGACTCTCTGGGACAGGTGTGGGCTGTGCAGCTAGGGCCCAAGGGCTTTCCAGGCTCCCCAGACCCGGAGGTGATGTGACTCCCCTCATGGTTAAAAAAAAGTCCAAGTAAAAAAAGGTACAGCCACAGTGGAAACTGTATCATGATGTCTCAGAAAACGACACATCCATGGGGCTCAGTCGGCGAGCTGGGTCAGCGGGTGAGCTGGGATCTTACCGACTATATCTAATTTGGGCCCAGGAAGCCCCGCCCACCCCCAGGCCCTCAGCTGCACCCTCCTTGTGCCACCGGCAGTGACAAAGAATTTCCAGGAAAACATAAAATCATGACTCTCCCACAGGCATAGGAATAAAGACTGCATTTCACTTGCCTGAGGGGACGGGGCAGATATTCTCAAGGGTTCAGAGAATGGGGGGCATCTGGGTGGTTCAGCAGGTGGAGCTCATGACTCTGGATCTCGGGGTCCTGAGTTCGAGCCCCACGTTGGGTCTAGAGATCACTTAAAATAAATAAAGTTTAAAAAAATAAATAAAGGGTTCAGAGAATGGGAAAAGCACATGCTGCTCCAGAAGAGCGCAGGGGAATGTTGAAACAGGTGCATTGCGGGGTTGGGGGGGTGGGGGGGTGGGGAGCGGCTCTCCCGCAGGAGGCCCTGGGGAGAAGTTGCTCCGGTCTCTCCCGGGGTTGGGGGGGGGGGAGGCAGGCTGTGGGTGCCAGGCAGGGTGACACAGCAGGTGGCCAGGAAGGAAGGGTGTGCTGCAGATGACGCAGAGTTTCCTACGGAGCCCCAATTTTTTTTCCTACAGAAGGAAATCTATTTAGCGGTCGTCAAGTAAGAAACGTGGCAGAGAGAGAAGGCGGCTCTGGATTGGGACAAGGGCTCCGGTTTTTGCTCTTCTTGCCTCGTCCTTGTGATGGGATCTCGCGGCTGGGTCCATCTGTCTGAGCCCCAGTCACCTCGTGTGGGACGTGGGGGTTCACAGAACAGCAGACGGTACATCCACGCTCCAGGCTCGCTTTTCTTTTCTCTTTTTTATTGCGGTGAAATATACCTAACGTAATATCTGCACTGTAATCATCCGTACGCCTAGATCAGCAGCATTAATTTCGCAGTGTTGTGCTACCATCAGCACTCTCCGTGCCCAGAAATCTTTCGTCATCCCCAACATAGCTCTGTACCCACACACACGAATTCTTTCCCTTTGCCCCCAGCCCCTGGTAACTGCGAATCGACTCTCCGTCTCTATGAATTTGCTTGTTCTAGGTCCCTCATGAAGGTGGAATCATATAGTATTTGTCTTTTGTTGTTGTTGTTGTTGTTCGTTTGGCTTATTTCACTGTTTTCAAGGTCCATGCATGTAATGGCATAGATCAAAATCTCATTCCTTCTTAAGACGAAATGATGTTCCACTGTAGGTATATGCATTTGTGTATCCCTTTATCGGCCGATGGACACGTGGGTTATATCCACCTCCTGCCTCTTACAGCACCGCGGTGAACACGCGTGTGCAGAGAGCCGTCCCAGTCCTCGCTTTTAAGTCTTCTGAGTGTGTATTAGGAGTGGAGTTGCTGGGTCATATGGCATTTCTGTGTTTACCTCTTTGAAAAACCACTTGCGCACAATTTTATCTCTATGAAGGAAGCTGAGGGACACTTGTCAGTAGGTTGACCCTCCTTTGTAGTTTGCCTTCTCACACCTCGTCCCTTCTGGAGATGGCGTGGCTACTCCAATTTTTTAAAAAAAATATTTTATTTTAGGTAGGCTCTACGCTTGAACTCACGACCCTGAGAGCAAGTCACGTGCTCTACCGACTGAGCCTGCCAGGCGCCCTCCGTGTTAATAAAGCCCTGACACGGTCCCTAAGAGAGGGAGTTCGGAAGATCCGACCCTGGCCCGTGGCAGTCCGCGGCTGGGCTCCCTGTGTTTGCAGGACGGTCTGTAAATGCCCCTCTTCCTGGAAAAGGATTGTACTCAGTCTCCCAGAGGTCGTGGGCTTGAGCAAGGGATGGCATTTACCGGCCGCAGTGTGGACATTCAGCCATGGGCCTGCCTTTCTCGGAAGCGGTGAGCTCCTCCCCTGTGGAGGGTTTAGCAGGTGCGGCAAGGGGGTCCCTACGTGAGGTGCCCACTGGGCCTGATGTGACGGCCAGAGAGATGCCATCTGTCTCCCTTCCTAGAGAGACCTGAATGGGCGTTGGCTTGTCTGCGAAGGTGGCATGGGGGGGCCACCCCAAAACGTGCCCCTCTGGCCTAACGATGGAGAAACAAACGGCAGAGGCAGGGGAAGCTCTGAAAACAGAGTAGAAAACAGAGTAGAACTTGGCCTTTTGTGAGGGAAATTTCCATCCATCAGGGAAATCTCCATTTGTATGGGTGTCTCCCTCCCTGGGCGGGGAAGAAAATCTGGAACTCGAGAGCATTTGTGGGAATGGAGAAGGGTCGGCCTGCCAGTCTGGTTTTGCGTCAGGCAGATCCCAGGTCCCCTGGAGGAGGATGGAACTGGGGAGCCCTGGGACCCTCTGTCCACTGCTCTGGACCCTCCCCAGGCTGTAGTGGGGGGCCCAGAGCCAGCGAAGCCCCCAGCTTTGATGGGGAGGGGCCGTGTGGATTTCCCATGCGGGTACCGGCGCTCACAGAAGTGGGGTGACCTGCATGGGACCCGGTGAGGTAGTGTGCTGTCACTGCACAGGGCGCTGACCTGGGTTCAAGAGAGACACAGGCACATCCCCTGTAAAATGTGGGTCAAGTGTGTGCAAGCGTCCCACTCACGCTCAAAGCCCTCTCTTTGTAATGGAATGTCTCCTTTCCTCCAAAGTCGCTTTATCTGACTTTGGACAATTACTAAATTCTCTGTATTTCGATTTTTTCTCCAAAAATCTTGTGTGTATATAAGTCTGTGTTTAAGGACACTTGAGTGGCTCAGTCGGTTAAGTGTCTGCCTTCGGCTCAGGTCATGATCCCAGGGTCCTGGGATAGAGTCCTGCATCGGGCTCCCTGCTCAGTGGGGAGTCTGCTTCTCCCTCTCCCTCTGCTGCTTGCTCTGCTTGTGCTCTCTCTCTCTCTCTCTCTCTCTCTGACAAATAAATAAAATCTTTAATAAAAAAGAAGTTTGTGTTTATCATACATTATACCTGATTAGTGGGACACAAAGGCAGAGGAGAAATT